GTTAGGCGTTGTAGGCTCTGTGGATCATTGCGAAGATCAATGCTTTGCCTGGATGCAAACCTGTTCGCCAGCCAATCCTTATCTGTGAACTGGCTAATCCTGTCATGTTGCTTGGGAGGGACATTTCAGCAATCTTTGAAGCCAAACACTTGAAAACCAATGGCACAGAATTTTGAAGGTGGTCGCTCCCCTCTATCTCCCCCTGTGACGACAAGCATCCACGATGCATTTGTCGAAGTTGTCGCCGCCAAGCTTTGTGTCGCCACTGGTTGCAAGGACTTCGCAAACACCACCGCCGACAACGAGAACTGATACATCAAACGTTCCTCCACCCAAGTCAAAAACCAAGATGGTCTCGTTGGTGTCGCGCATTTCCAGCCCGTAAGCCAAAGAAGCAGCTGTGGGTTCATTAACAATGCGGAGTACTTCTAGGCCTGCGATTGCACCAGCATCTTTGGTAGCTTGTCGCTGGGAATCATTGAAATATGCGGGCACGGTAATTACAGCTTTCTTGACATCAGCTGCCAGATACTTCGCGGCATCGGTGGCAAGCCTTCGAAGCACTTGCGCAGAGATCTCTTCAGGTGCCAACTCCCTGTCCAAGAAAGGGCAAAAGATTCGAACCCCAAGGACCTCGGACGGATCCACGACAGTGTATGACACCTCTGATGCTTCCTCATCAACCTCGCTCCTGAGCCTGCCAATGAAACGCTTCACGGAAGAGAACGTGTTGCCAGGATTGACCACTGCTTGCCGCTTGGCCTTTTGCCCTATAAGCAACTCTCCAGACTTGCTATACGCCACCACACTTGGCGTTGTTCGGCCACCATCTGAGCCGGGAATGACTGTCGCTTTTCCAGCTTCAAGGGCTGCAACTGCTGAGTTGGTTGTGCCCAAGTCGATGCCAACAACCTTTTCACCTGCCTCGAGGTTGATGTTCGCCGCGCCACGAACCACCCGCGCCACGCTTTGACGAGCACGTCGCCAAAGGGTGGCCGCAAGTAGCGGGAGTCCAGCAGTAGCTGCTGGAAGCAAAGGACTGCGGCGTCCAGTGCTTGCCTGAGAAGAACAACTTGTTGAGCGAGAAAATGCTGCATGGAGAGAAAGACTTGGATGCGGATGTTGTACGTAGGAATCTGCACATCGTCTTGACCTTACCAATGCACACCTAGACAAAGTCTAAAGGGCTGATGCCAAACGACACAATTCTGTATTTTGGCTGGTTGATGACTGATTGCTAGCGGATTACAAGGAGTCATTGAACGGCAGCCCTGCTTCAAGTTGGCATCAAGAGTCCTTTGCGTGGTTTCGTCCAGACTCAAGCGCGGTCAAGGTGCGTTGGATATCTGGCTCCTTCGGAAATGTGTAAGAATATTTTTGTGAAGTCCAAGGCACTAGCATCCAAGATGCGATACTTGCAATTATCCCCATCAAGTTGCAGGAAAAAAAACATGTCAGGCAAGCTGGCTACACAGGCACTAAATCCGCAAAATTTACACACCAAGCGCATCACACACCTGCTGTTCCCTCAATCTGTCTGCATCTACATGGGATGTTGCCTTACCCAAGATCACCTCTTAGCCTCCTCCACTGTTCCAGTGATTTTGGCAATCAGGAAAACCAGAACACCGTGTACTAAATCACTGCATCCAATGGCATTGTCTGGCTCTTAGAACATCGTGAGTTCCCAAGTAGCGAGGTCCTAAGGCAGAAGTTGATGCAGGCAACAGCTCCATCAAATGGAGTGGAAGGACGGATGACCAAGTTAACGAACGCGCTGATGAAGTTGCTACAAATACACGGTTGCCACAGCACTAAGTCCACACTTTGTTTGGCCCCATAAGACTAAGAGTTTTCCTTGTGAGTGACTCTGATCCCCATGGTGGGCTGCTCTTGAAACTGGAGTTGATGTCGTTGCAGCGGTGGAGAGAACTCGTGTGTCATGATTCATTTTCTGCCCTTTGCAACTTCAAACGCTGCAGATGAAGCCCAACAACCCACCTGTGTGGCTCAGCATGGCGTCAAGTCATTGGAACTTGGCCCAGATTTGCAGCCCAACAGCAAGAGCAACTCAATTGACTAGAACTTTTCAAGCGCTCCAACTATGCGTTGCTGAAGCTCGAGCGCGCCCCTCTGAAATTTTAAGGGAACTGGGGAGCAGGAACTGAGGTCCGGAGCAGGCAGGAGAAAGCGCATCAGAACAAAAACGCCGTTCTCAGCACAAAGGCGCGTTGCTAAGTACGTACAAACACCTGCCGACGACGTTCCCAGCACAAAGGTGTGCTTCTAGGCACGATTAGGTACGTAAAACATCTGCCGCGCTAGCGGTCCTACAAAGGCTATATACTGTCAAGAAAGAAAGAAAGAAAGAAAGAAAGTTGGATTCTGAACACAACCCTGACCTGACAGCAGCACCATGGCAACAGCGCCCGGGATTCCAAGGTTCGAGGGCGGCGCCTGACAGCAAGGGTTCCAACACAACAGCGCCGGGGTTAGGGAGGAGTTCTGGGTTTCGGACGCCGGCAGGTGCGGAGATTGAAACCCAACTCTGCCCATACTCTGTTTGCGCGCGCGTGAAGTGTACTAAACCTGGCGCCGCATCCTGCATCCTGACAGGACTGACCAGCCAGAAAGACGCCGTCTCTCGCTGGACAGAAGGACAGGATCCACCTCCTGCCAGCCGGAAGGCTGTAGGCTAAGCCCTTCGGATACTCAATGTCAGGCCAGAAACCACCAGCAGCAACAGGAGACTCGTAAACCCAACCGCTGTTGCGTCCTAGCACGCAGAGCGGGAGGCAGCAATTGCTTAAGGTTCTCGACGCAGGAACAGGGGCTCGAAGCTCGCCAATTGCACTCTGTCGCCAAGTGCGTAGGCAGAGGTCACCGTAGTGTGGGTGTCTGAGCAAGACCGGCTGAAGGGGGACCTGACACTCTGGCTTTGGCCTAGCATCCAACACTACAACCTGGCCAGGACATCGGTTTTGTGATCACAGACCAACACAATACCCTGATGTTCGGAGACGTGATCCAGCAACCCGGCAATCGGAAGGTGTTGAACATAGAGCGCCCACAGGTATAGTGCAGCTCCAGGAGGCGCCGCTTGCACCACAGAGCTGCGTCCCCGCTCAGTCCAGGTAGCAATCCACACCCTCCCCGCGCAACACAGCGAGGGCAGCCCGACTTGGAACAAGTGTTGGCGTAGTGAAGGGGGGTTGTGGGGAGGCAAGTGTTCCCACACTCGGAGCAAACAAGTTCCAGACGTAACATGGGAGTACTGATGATATGCGTGCGCCCAAGCCTGCCCACTACAACACTTGCCTCATTACACGATCTAAAGCACGCTCGCTGCTGTTCCCGCAAGCGAAACGCAACTCCCAGGTTCAAGTTGTAGCCACAGCCGGCTTCTTCCTGTTGGCCACTGGTGTTGGTGATCGAAGTCTTGTTTCTATTCTTTTTGTCTGGCTCTGCTGCCCACGGCGGCAACAAAAAACAGATCACTCGGAGGGGTCGATCGTATGGTGGGCACAACAGCTGGTGTTCGGCATCCTTGTTATCTTCAAGGCACTCCCAGTCGACACCATCCATCTTCTGTTGAAACGAGTACTTCCGCCAACTGCGAGTGACTGGCGCATCCAGCCCAAGGTCTTCGATCCTTTCCCAGGTTAGTGTGTTGCGAGACCCAAATTGGGCTGCCTTGCAGTGGCGGAGGAGATGGTTCAACAAGTCTTCTGCAGGGAGCGGTGTGGAGGTCACAGCTTTGCCCTTGCCCTTAGCTTTGCCCTTGCCCGCTTGCTTCCACTATGCCATGAAGTGCTGCATCCCCATGGCCCTGACGACCAGGAACTGTTGTCGTCTTCCCAGCTCTCATCCCAATCATGATTGAAATTGTGTTCTTCGTGTCTTTCTACTTGTATTCCAATCATCAATTTCAACTCCACATTCTCTTTCACAAGGCGCCCTAGCGGCCCTATCGGCAGGAACCGTTATGCGAGATCGCCCTCACAGTCATGGCACATTGCACTTACACCTCTGTACAAGTCTATGAACTTGCAAACACTGCAAATGAATCAGCATGGCGTCAAGTGATTGAAAACAATGAGTGAAATTGCTGAAAACGCTTGAATTTACATAAAATGGCTCGCCTTTTTACTCCTACACCTCGCATGTCACATTGATCATGCGGCCATAGCAGAGGGGCAGCATTCCCTTCCCGAAGCTACAGGCAGATTCCGCAAGCTGCGTTGAGGACCTGCACCTCTGATGTTCATTGTCCAGTGTTCAATATGGTTCAATACTTTTCCATGCCGATGTTCTAACTAACTGGTCCAACATTAAAGAATTATATATTGATAAAATACTTTCTCTTTTTGTTCTTCCCATGGGTCGCCCATGTCTTTCTTCTTCACTGTCCATGCTACACATTGCGACAGGCTGCTCAGCGCCGTTTCCGGCCACGTCCACGCCTTAGACTAGGTAGAGAAGGGAGCTAAAATCTGTCTGTCTAGCCTTTCAAGAGGAGCCAACCAAAACAAAGGAATCACACGCAGCCGAGCTCCAACTTAAGCCACATCATGAAAAAAAAAAGTTGCTTGGTTGAGACATCTTGACGCAGCTTCGTACAAGCTTTCCTTTGCCGTTGCAATGTCCCACCCTCGTGCTGTCTGACCGTCACTCCTCTCAAGAGTCCTTCTATCCCTTCTTGTTACCTCTTTCACCCAGCAAGCTGCGATGCGATTCTCTGATGCTGCCAGCACCAGGAAATTCTTACTTCCACCAATTTCAGAGGAAGCAAAGTTTCATTAACTGGTAGTCGACCCACGCGTAGTAGAGCCCAATACTGCTACACATCATGGGTCCACCCTGGGTACTACGTTCAAAGTCCATCTTGAAGGGATACAATTCAGTCAGTTCAAAATGCTGGAGACTTCCATGCAAACCCGTACCACATGGACTACGCTTGAAGCCTTCGTTAACTAAGGACATCTACGTCCACTCGCCCATCAGTACACCGCGGTTGTGGACGCAGCGAAGAACTGCAGGGCAAGCAAGCTAACTTTCAGGCTCCAAAGTATTGGCAGAACATATCCGTGCTTCTTGATGGTGTGGTAACAAGAGGGATACTTTGCAAACTCCACTGCACCTGGCTTCCAATGCACCTTCAGTAAGCCTAAGCCTTATCGCGGTGGGGGTGTGCACAAGCTCCAAAGACCAAAGACCACACAGTGAGCCCGAAGATCAAGACACTTGTGGCATCGGCATATGTCAAACGTGTTGGCAATAGGTGAGAATGTTTAACACTCATCAACAATAAATATTTGGCTGGATACACGTCACAACTGCGCAAGCCCCAACAACGAAAGATATATATATATACTTATGTTGCAAATATATACTGCATATGCATTTACATATACACATTTATGTAATATATATATAATATATACATATTTTACTACAAGTTTGTCTTGTAAAAAACAAGCTTGCACCGGCCTTCTCCATATCGTGCTGCCGCTGGAGTCTCCTCCGCTTACATTCACCAACCCCCATCAACAGTGAGCGCAAGCTTCACAAAACAGGCAATCCTCCTGCGCCTGGCCAGTGCCTTTGTCTTCTCAGAAAGTAGAATGTGCAAAAACTACTGTGAAAACCTGAGCTCGCTCAGATTGAGGAGACCTGGGGTGCTGGCACTTTGAAGAGCTGAACCTTAGGAAAATATATCAGGAATGAGAACGTAGCAGATAAACGCTCCAAAGCCACCCAAAAGTTCGAGATGCCGACACATCAGCATTCCGCCATCGATGCAGAATTGGCTGGCCGGAGGCTCAAGCGGAGGAGGAAGTCCTGTTCAAGCTTCAGCCCTTTGTGACATCCTGCTATGCCACCGCTTCTGAACCACTGTTGCTTCTGAACCACTGTGACAGACAGAGAGACAGACAGAGACAAAGACAGAGAGACACAGACAAGACAGACAGAGAGACACAGACAAGACAGACAGAGAGACGGAAACAAAGAGAGAGAGAGAGAGAGAGAGACCCACAGAGACAGAGACAGAGTATATCCAGATTCGGTGAATGTCTCCTGTCCGTTCCACATTGCAGTAACCCTTGACATCAAGAGTTTGACCATCCCTCAGCTGACTGATGTTCACCATTTCTGGGAGCCACGCCTCCCGATGGAGGTGCTTGACCAGGAGAGGGAGGTGTCTTCATATCCTGGAGAGGAAACCATTAAATCCACTTGAAAGACTGCTATTGATCTACAAACCAAAGGAAAAAGCACTCGGTCCGGGAAGGGATCAGGGTCATCATCTGGATTTGTTGGCGAAGGAGGCTTGCCTTCACGTTTTTCAAGCTACTAGGGGCAAGGACGCTACTAGGACCACTAGGAGCAAAGGGCATCGCTACTAGTAGCAAGAAGCTACTAGGGGCTCCTGGCATCGCTACTAGGGGCAAGGACACTAGGGGCTCTTGGCCGAAGAAGCTACTAGGGGTTCCTAGGTCCTAGCTTCAATGTCCATTTCGCCGCCCCGGCCGCCCCAGACCGGCCGAGGCCCGGGCGGATGTATGGATCCTTCCCCGACAAATACGGTACCGGCGCAGGTGCACGGTGCGGAGTTGCCCCAACCTGCGACCCGGTGCGAAGGAGGTCCGGTCGACCTGATGTCATTGTGTTCGTTCTTGTCACATGGTAAGATCAAATCATGAGTCTGTCAAGGTTGCCTCACTACTGTTTGTAGTGACAGAATGCGTTGCGTTTTGAGGTGCGGTGGTGTTTGTGACATTTTTTAGGCATGTCGGCATGTCATGTGGATGGGAGCTGTGGTGGCACATCGGTCTTCCGCTTCAAGGGACGGAGGCAGCACAGGTGTTCCGTTTGTGCAACGTGACCATCCATAGGCTTTGGATGATGTTTGGCATGTCAAAGGTGTGCCAGGCGGTCAGCATTTGGAGGCAAAATGGTCTGCGTTTGGTGGCACAACATGTCTGATCCCTGCATGCGGCTCTCTCCTTCAGTGCTTTTGTTGTGGGCGCCTCAGCCACAGCGCCAGTGGCGCTGGCAGCCTCAACAGGGTGCAAACACTTGCGCTAAAGCACAATGAATAATTCACGCACCAAGTCAGCCCGGCCTGCGTGCCTGGTGGATTGACCTCGACGTGTTCGACCTTGAAGCCACTTGATCGAGTGTTAATGACTGGAACGCAAGTAATGCTACGCAAAAGGTATTGGCATCACCTGCATCAGAAATAAATTTAAAAAAATTACGTTACTTCGAGTGATCCCCACCATGAAATGTCAAAACAGCCACGTTCAGCCCAATCTGCTCACTTGCGAAGGCAATCCAAATGTCAGAAAAAACAGGTCGTTCATTCATTCTGTTCGTCCCTTCGTTCATTCGTTCGTTCGTTCATTCATTCATTCGCACGTTAACTCATAGTAGTCATAGTAGTAGTAGTCGTCGTAGTAGTAGTAGTAGCAGTAGGAGTAGGAGTAGTCAGTAGTCAGTAGTCAGTTCTAGCAGTAGTAGTAGTAGTCAGTAGGAGTAGGAGTAGGAGTAGGAGTAGGAGTAGTAGTAGTAGTAGTAGTAGTACCACTAGTAGTAGTAGTAGTCGTCGTCGTCGTCGTCATCGTCGTCCTGGGCGGCCCAAAAACTGGGAAACTTCCGGGGCCCGAGTAGTAGTAGCAGTAGTAGTAGTAGTAGAAAGTAGTAAGTAGTAAGTAGTAGTAAGTAGTAGTAAGTAGTAGTAAGTAGTAAGTAGTTGTAGTAGTAGTAGTAGTAGTAGCAGTAGTCGTAGTAGTGGTAGTAGTGGTAGTAGTGGTAGTAGTGGTAGTAGTGGTAGTGGTAGTGGTAGTGGTAGTGGTAGTGGTAGTGGTAGTGGTAGTAGTCGCCGTAGTAGTAGTAGTAGTAGTAGTAGTGGTAGTGGTAGTGGTAGTGGTAGTGGTAGTAGTAGTAGTAGTAATTGTTGTTGTTGTCGTTGTGGTGGTAGTAGTAGTGGTGGTGGTAGTGGTAGTGCTAGTAGTTGCTGTTGGACACACTTCGGGGCCCGACCTTCGGGGCCCGAACCTGGAAAACTTTCAGGGCCCAAGCAGTAGTAGTATATAGTATAGTAGTAGTATATAGCATGGTAGTAGTAGTAGTAGTAGTAGTAGCAGTAGCAGTAGCACTAGCAGTAGCAGTAGCAGTAGGAGTAGTAGTAGTAGTAGTACTGCGATGGTAGTAGCAATAGTAAATAGTAGTGCACAGTTCGGGGCCCGACCTTCGGGGCTCGAACCCTGGAAACGTCCGGGGCCCTAGTAGTAGTAGTAGTAGTAGTCGTCGTCGTCGTCGTCGTCGTCGTCGGTGGTCGTCGTCGTCGTCGTCGTCGTCGTCGTGGTAGTGGTAGGTAGTAGTAGGTAGTAGTAGGTAGTAGTAGGTAGTCGTAGCAGTAGCAGTAGCAGTAGCAGTAGCAGTAGTAGTAGTAGTAGTAGAGTAGTAGTAGTAGTAGTAGTAGTAGTAAGTAGTGGTTAGTAGTGGTTAGTAGTGGTTAGTAGTAGTTAGTAGTAGTAGTAGTAGTAGTAGTAGTAGTAGTAGTAGTAGTAGTA